AGTACGCGATCAATAAGAAAATTTCCTTTTGAGTAATTGGAGTCTGTTAGTCGGCATTAGCATGGCTATGCTAATTTATCCTTCCAGCTGTAATTAGTCCAGTTGGAACAGTAAATCTAAGTGGAGTGAGTGAGTGCAACAAGTGTGTCAAAAAATAAATAGAGTGCAACAAGTGTGTCAAAAATAAATATAAATATAATAGCTCGTGAATATAATGTGTATTAAATGTCATCATTAGGTGCAGTTTACAAGCAACCTTGTTATTTGCTTTAATTTGGTAAGTTGTATGCCACACTTTATAAATTGCATGTAATTATTTTCTTGGCGCATTTTGTTTGCTACTTTTGGCGGAAAAAATGGCGAACATCGAGTTACATTTCTTTTTGAGTATTTTGTAAAGTGGAATGTTGACTTACATTATATATTATTTTTTTTACAGTGTTTTCATTTCCAATTGGCATGTTAAGTGCGACAGGGAAATGCGGAAGATATATACCGTTTATATGAAATGCTAGCCAGCTGGTTTTTTTTTTTTTTTTTTTTTTTTTTTTTTTTGTAAGTTTTAGAAAATGTGATAATCTAATTTGCATTTTGTTATGTAAATATTAATGTTGTTTTCTTTGTTTACAGTGCATCTGATTGCAGTGTGTGTGTGAAATGCATATAAAAATCCTTGAATAAATATAAATATTCAACGGAGATGTTTTTCTTTTTAGTTAGGTAAGTTTATCCTGAAATGTATGCTAAATATATGCAGTACACATTTTTCGTTTTAAATATTATTATTAAACATTTGATATCTATTTACAGTACATGTGCAGTGCTGTATCATCCTATGCAGCATAACATTTACTTAGTAATGGTAAGTCTTATACTGTAAAGTTTACATAAATTCTTCTATGTTAAGCATGTCGCCAGTTGCTGCGATCGCTAAAATACGATATGCTAAAATTTTAAATTACTGAAAACTGAAACTAAAATCAGCAGTTGCTACTGCTCCTCCATTTTCATTTAAATTTATTGCTTTTTTTTTTTTTTGGATGGATGTGTCAATTGGCGCTAATGTAATTATGTAATAAAGCTGCGTTAATGGTTGAGGTGCAGCTGTTGCGGCAGTTGGCCTATTTCCTGCTCCAAAAAGAAAAAACGTTCAACAGCCGCTAATATTAATTAGCCAACAGCAGCGGCAACAA